AAAAAAATTCTTAAATTAAGCTTTTTTTTTTATTGTCATTACACTATCATAAGTACAGAGCAACAAAATGAACTCTCTGCATTTAACCCATCCCGTTGGGGAGCAGTGGGCTGCCATTGTGCGGTGCCTGGGGAGCAGTGTGGGGTTAACGGTCTTGCACAGGGACCCAGAGTGTCAGTCAGTGGGAGTGGGGCTTGAACTCCAACCTCTTTTTTCCAAACGTAATGCCCTACACTGCAAAAAATCAAAATCTAGATAAGTCATTTCTGTTTTTAAAATAAGTGCATTTGTTCTTGAATTGAGAAGGTAAACGGGACATTTAGCCAATGGAACAAGACAATTTAGATTGAAATAAGAAAACACAATTGCATTGTCTTATTTCAAGTGCATATTATCTGATTATCTTATTTTAAGGGTAAAAATACTAATTTCATTGGCAAACTATCTCATTAACTTTTTCAAATTAAGGGTAAATACACTTAATTTAAGAAGTTTTTAGTCATTTCTAGATCGTTTTTCCACCAGGCTGCCACTCCCTTGAGTGTGGCCTAGTGAAATTACTGTAAGTGTATTTACCCTTAGGTAAATGAGATGATTTGCCAATGGAATTTGTATTTTTACCTCTAAAAATAAGATAATTGGATACTATGCACTTGAAATAAGACTATACACTTATTTTTTTTTATTTTAAATGTAAACTGTCCTTTTCCATTGGCAAACTGTCTCATTTACCTCCTCAATTCAAGAAAAAAATCCCTAATTTTAACAAAAAAGACTTATTTAGATTGACATTTTTTGCAGTGCTGCAGTCTGGTTTAACTCAGACCCAAAGTCTGATTATTTTAAACATGCCTTAAATGGAGCTCTTTCCAATATTTGGGCTGCAGGTCAGGACCTGTAGAGGATTTATGGTAAACGAAGATAAGACGCTCCGTTTGCTGATGATTATTTGGTTTGTTGGGCCAGTTAATATGAAATAGACCCGTCTTTGTTTGCCTTGATTTGAAGGACATCCATCCAAACCACCTTGTTTTTGTGCTTTAACCCAACCAAACAAAGGCACAAAACCGAACTGAAGTCCTGCAACTGTTCTTCAGCGCAGAAAGGCTCATAAATATCCACTATTAATAAAAAAAAAAAAAACAGAAAATGAGGAGAATATTTTTGAAGCGCCTCTTCTTCAGCCTCTACACTCATCTCTGCTTTAGCCGTCGTCTGTAGCGCCGTCCAGGGACTTGAACTGGCAGCCCTTCAATTAGCAGCTGCTTCTCTGACCGGCCGTCTTCCACCTTCCCCCGAGGCTGCCCCCGCTGAAGTTTCATCCCTCCACTTCCCTCCATTCTTTTACTTTGTGAGATGATTTATTAAACTGCCTTTAACTAAGACTGCGGATTAATTAAAACACAGTCGATTTAATTGTCAGGCGTCATATATGAATTTGCAGTGGTAATTGAATCCCCAACTTTAACCAAGTCGTTAGAAAAGAGGCTCCTCATCAATTCCTGCTGGTCAGAGTGAGAACAGAGCGGCTCCTGATATCCGGCTGTCCATGCTAGTCCTGCTCAGCTCACAGATGAAGAGTTGGAATCTGGTTTCCTTTTTTTTTCTGTTTGCTGAAAGGGCCGGGAATCAGACGACGGGTCGATAATATTGGATTTGCGGATGGCATGCGGAGAAGCAGAGTCCAGCATGCATGCAAGGTTCTGATGAAGACCCTGCTGCAGCTTGGAGTAGCGGATCAGACGTGCCGGCGGGGTGGAGCTCTGGTTTTGGCGTAACCCAGAGATGTAAACAAGCAATGTGCAGAAGCATTAATGGAATAGCGATCGGGGGGCTGCTGTTGCAGCAGAAGGGTCATTTGGGTAGATCTATGCAGGCTGCTGTCATGGAATGGAAATCGATGCAGGATCGATGTAAGGATTGGTTCAGGCAGGAGGGAGAGGGGCTGAAAATGGATCCGAGCCGCGGTGCTTTGGAAGCCCGGCCTTTGGATCCCAGCCGAGCTTCCGAACCCTTTCAGAGGGAAGCTGTGTGTGTTTGTCAGGTTATTGGGTCCCTGCACGTGACTCGTCCTCCCTTCCTCCTCTCTCTCGCTCTCTCAATGTCTCTGCCCCCTCCCCCTCGTCCCACTTGCTCACTATAACCGTTGCAAGCGTATCGATTATTTCAAATACTGATTATCTAAAAGGCCTTCTGCTACTGTAGGCATTGGATTTATTTTGGCTTAATTATTTATGGGCCAGGGCTAGCTGTAAGTATTATGGCTGTGAGATCATGAAGGATTACATTGTTAATATTCAGCAGTGTATTTTTATTTCTGTTCAGTCTAAGCTGTGCTAGATGAGCTTTTGCAGAAACAAAAACAAAGCAGCAGCGTCTCTCCTCTTCTTTCCTTTAACGCTTTTCTCTCTCCATCCCCGGTTTGTGTGTTTTTGCAGAGGGAGCTAAACTCTGTGGCGTCTGAACTGGCCGGGCGGCAGGAGGAGAGCGAACATTCCCACAAGCACCTGGTAGAGCTGAGCAGGGAGTTCAAGAGAAATGTCCCTGAGGTGAGTCTGGCACCCCGCCCCCCATTATCTCAGCCGTATGTGTCATTTTCCTCATCTTCACCTCAGCAGGTAGTGGCTGCCTGCATGAGCGCTGCAGCTAAAGCCCCCCCACCTCCCCGCTTCACGTGTACTTAGCACTGCACTGCTAAAACCTTTTAGAAATCAGTAAAAATGTCTTAAATCAAGAGTATTTACCCTTGATTTTAGCAGGTAAATAAGATGATTTGCCAGTGGAATTAGTATTTATAATATTCTAATAAAAATAATTAGATAATATGCACTTGAAATGAGACAATGCAATAGTTTTTTCTTATTTTAAATGTAAATTGTCTTGTTCCTTTGGAAAAAAATGCTCTTATTGTAAGAAAAAATGACTCATTTAGAATTAATTTGTTTCTTTTGCAAATTCATATCTCAATAAGTAATTTCTTCTTAAAATAAGTGCATTTGTTCTTGAATTAAGGAGGTAAGTGAGACACTTTGCCAATGGAACAAGACAATTTACATTTATAATAAGAAAAAACAAATATATAGCCTTATTACAAGTGCATATTATCTAATTATCTTATTTTAAGAGTAAAAATACTCATTCCATTGGCAAATGGTCTATTTCACCTGCTCAAATTAAGGGTAAATACACTTAATTTAAGACATATTTACTCATTTTAGATTGCTTTTGCAGTGTACACTGCAAAAAAGTCATGCTTTTCTTAAAATAAGTGCATTTTTACTAGAATTGAGGAGGTAACTGAGACATTTTGCAAATGGAACAAAACAGTTTACATTTAAAATAAGAAAAAAACAACTGCACTGCAAAAACCATCTAAAAATGAGAAAAAAATGCCTTAAATGAAGTGTATTTACCATTAATTTGAGTAAGTAAATAGGATAATTTGCCAATGGAATGAGTATTTTTAGTCTTAAAATAAGATAATTAGATAATATGCACTTGAAATAAGACAATGCAATTGTGTTTTCTTATTTTAAATGTAAATTGTCTTGTTCCATTGGAAAATGTCTCTTTTATCTCCTCAATTCAAGATAAAAATGCACTTATTGCAAGAAAAAATGACTTATGGTATGTAGATTTTTTTTCTAGTGCATAATAAGTAATTATCTTATTTTAAGGGTTAAAAATGCGTATTCAGTTGGCAGATCATCTTATTTTCCTGCTCAAATTTGGGGTATTTTAAGAGGCTGTTACTCATTTTCAGACGGTTTTTGCAGTGCAGTAAAGGCTGGTATGTTAGGAGACCAAAGGAATAGTGATGGATGAATGTCCTGAAGAAGCTGAGTTATAAACCAGAAGAAAACGCCACACTGTAAAAAATGTAAATCTCAATAAGTCATTTTTTCTTAAAGTAAGTGCTTTTTCTCTTGAATTGGGAGGTAAATGCCAACCAAACAAGACAATTTACATTTAAAATAAGAAAAAACAATTGCATTGTCTTATTTCAAAGTGCATTTTATCTAATTATCTTATTTTAAGAGTAAAAATGCTCATTCCATTGGCAAATTATCTCATTTACCTACTTAAATTACGGCTAAAAACACTTAATTTTAGACATTTTTACTTATTTCTTGATTGTTTTTGTAGTGCAGATGAGCTTCAGTTTATGGGAACGTTTGTCTTTGAAGTGCGGGATATTTTAAAGTGGTCCTGATTGTGAGACTGCGTTAAAAAGCTCGGTGAAAACGAACTCTCCTCAATACTTTGAACGATGAGGCCGGCTGCCCTTCTGCAGGGTAAGTTACAGCATCTGTCATTCAGGGAAGTCTGAGGACTCTGGTCTGAGCCTGCACTGCAAAAATTGATACATTTTCTTAAAATAAGTGCATTTGTTCTTGAATTGAGGATATAAAAGAGACATTTTGCCAATGGAAAAAGACAATTTAGATTTAAAATAAGAAAAAAACAATTGCATTGTCTTATTAAAAGTGCATATTATCTAATTATCTTATTTTAAGAGTAAAAATACTCATTCCATTGGTAAATTGTCTCATTTACCTACTAATAATTAAAGGTAGATACACTTGATTTAGGAAATTTTAACTTATTTCTAGATCATCTTTGCTGTGCAGCCTTGCACTGCAAAAATGATCTCAAAATTAGTAAAAATGTCTTGAATTAAGGGTATTTATCCTTAATTTGAGCAGGTAAATAAGATGATTTGCCAATGGAATTAGCATTTTTACTCTTAAAATAAGGTATCTAGATAAAATGCACTTGAAATAAGACAATGCAATTGTTTTTTTTTTTTTTCTTATTTTAAGTGTAAATTGTCTTGTTCCATTGGCAAAGTGTCTCACTTTGCTCTTCAATTCAAGAAAAAATGCACTTATTTTAAGAAGAAATGACTTATTTAGATTTCATTTTTTGCAGTGTGTTTTGATAGACTGCAAAAAGGATCTAGAAATACGTAAAACATTCTTACATTTATTGTATTTACCCTTAAGTAAACAAGATGATTTATCAATGGAATGAGTATTTTTACTCTTAAAATAAGATAATTAGATAATATGCAATTGAAATAAAACAATGTAATTGTTTTTTCCTATTTTAAATGTAAATTGTCTTGTTTCACTTGCAAAGTGTCTCACTTTCCTCCTCATTTCAAGAAAAAATACACTTTTCTGATGAAAAAATGACTCATTTTGATTTCATTTTTTGCAGTGTTCTTTAGTTTACAGGACTCAGATAAACTCTGGTTTTGCTTTAAACAGAGGGTGTAAATTTGCATCTGAAAAAGCACCTTATTGATGCTAATCTGAGCAGACATTTGGTGCAAACCTGTCCTTATTAATAATCTATGGCACCACATACAGCCGTCTGCGCTTAATCACTTTACTTCAGGAGTTTCACATCTGATGAATGAATGAACTGGAATTTATTCACTATTCATGCCAGATCACCTTTATTTGATTCTCAGATCAAATCTTTGTTGCAGTTATTAAAACCTTGTGGTCAAAATGTTTAATACCTTTCATTCCCACCTCCCACCAAACGGTCAGAACTGCGGCTCTATCAGCTGCTGAGGATCATTGAAAACGCGTTCCTTCATCCGTTCGCTATTCATGTCGATCATTTGTGTTTTTCTTCCCCTGATTGGTTTGAAAATTAATAATCATTTTGGATATTATCTGACACTAATAATGGAACTACGCAGCTTAACTTCAAGCCATAATCAGTGTGATTCCAGTTTGGATTTCAGCTCAAATGTCATTATTGTTTTTGCATACAGTGCTAACACCTGCTGGGACGCCGTCTGTCCGCCGCTGTGCGTCAACTTATCGTTTTCTTCCGCCTCGCATTGAGGCGCTGTCACTCTGTGCCAACTTGTTTAGCGAAAGCTGAACCCGTGAAAGATAACAGGGATGACTTTGTCCTTTTTCTCTATATTTTTCTGTGAAATAATCATCATTCTGTTTCCTACACTTGAAAAATTATGTAGAAATAAGTAAAAATGTCTTAAATTAAGTGTATTTAACCTTAATTTGAGGAGGTAAATTAGATATTTTGCCAATTGAATGAGTATTTTCACTTTTAAAATAAGATAATTAGATAAAAGAAGACATTTCAATTGTCTTTTCTTATTTTAAGTATAAATTGTCTTGTTCCATTGGCAAAATTGCCTCCTAAATCCAAGAGCAAATGCACTTATTTTAAGAAAAAAATACTTCTCTAGATTTAGATTCTTTCCTGTGTAAATGAGCCCTGAGGCTGTCTGCTGTGCCGTTGGTCTATCTTAGCTGAAGTCTGCAGTGCTGAATCTTGTCAGGATTATACAGGAGTTTAAGACGAGATCAGGCAGCAGCACACACTGCAAAAAATTGAAATCTAAAGATCTCATTTTCTCTTAAAATAAGGACATTTTTTCTTGAATTGAGGAGGTAAGTGAGACACTTTGCCAATGGAACAAGACAATTTACATTTAAAATAAGAAAACACAGTTGCATTGTCTTATTTCAAGTGCATTTTATCTTATTATCTTATTTTAAGAGTAAAAATACTCATTCCATTGGCAAACTGTCTCATTTACCTACTCAAATTAAGGGTAAATACACTTAATTTAAGACACTTTTACTTATTCCTAGGTCGTTTTTCCAGTGCTTACCTGCCGCTCCGAGAGCTTCAAACAAGTCAAGATTTCTGAGCTTCCAGTTTATCAGACATCACTGGAACCTCAGTGGTGTTTTAGAACTTTATTACACTGTAAAAAGTAGAAATCTAGATTAAGCATTTTTTCTTAAAATAAGTGCTTTTGTTCTTGAATTGAATTAAGGTAAAGGAGACATTTTGCCCATGGAACAAGACAATTTACACTGGAAAAACGATCTAGAAATAAGTAGAAATTTCTTAAATTAGGTGTATTAACCCTTATTTTGAGCAGGTAAATGAATTTTTTTGCCATTGGAATGAGTACTGTTGCTTTTAAAATAAGATATTTAGATAAAAATGCACTTAATTGCGTTTTCTTATTTTAAATGTAAATTGTCTTGTTCCATTGGCAAAATGTCTCTTTTATCTTCTCAATTCAAGAACAAATGCACTTATTTTAAGAAAAAATTACTTATATAGATTTTGATTTTTTCCAGTGTACATTTAAAATAAGAAAACAATTGCATTGCTTTATTACAAGTGCATATTATCTAATTATCTTATTTTACTCATTCCATTTGCAAATCATCTGATTTACCTGCTCAAATTTAGGGTAAAGACATTTTTTACATTTTTCTAGATCGTTTTTGCAGTGTACGCAGTCCTTTCTGGCCCCCAGGGGCTGAACTGATCCCCGATCAGGTGGAGCATTTGTTCAATAACGTTTGCTTTTTTCTTTTTTTCTGTTTACATAGGAGGTCCGGGAGATGGTGGCACCTGTCCTCAAGAGTTTCCAGGCGCAGGTGAGTGGCATGTTTCTGCACCTCCTGCTCACTGAGCAGCTTTTATTGATGGGTTCCTACATCTCTGTTCCATGCATAAGACTGAAAGGAGACGCTCCTGTATGAACACTGACCAGAACAGCTCCTTGACTGAATGATTTGATAGATAGAGGGAGAAATCCATGGCGTACTTTTCGTGTTGCTGCTCATCTAGTGCTTATTGACTGATGCCTTTTCTGTCAAAGTGAAGTAGCATCTATCTGCCATTAGATGATCAGATATCTGGCTTCTCATATTTTCTTGGCTGAGACAAGCCCTCATTTCCTGTTGAGATGGTGCATTCGCTGTGCCCCCCTCTGACGTCGCCATATTGAAAAAGTCATCTGATACCTACAAAGACTCTGCTCCAGCCATTAAACCAAGGTCATAAATCACATTTGTGAGCTGCGTTATGGTCCGCAAGGCAGAGGCTTATGGAAATGATACCGCAAATATGTTTCCAGTCTCGTCCCCCCCCCTTCAAACTCCGGCGCAGCGCGAACCTGAAAGCCCAATCATCTGTAAACATGAGAACACTCAGCATGGATTGTTCAGATCTCTTGGAAGTGATTATTGGCAGCTCCTTTTTAATGCTTTCTAATTGACTGTGCCCAAGCAGCCGCGTTCCCGAGCAGGGGCCATCGGGCCCCACGTGCCGCACTCTCGTTCCGTCCTGATTCAATTACTGCAGCCGTTAAGTTGCAGAAATATGCGAATCAGCCGTCCATATCTTTACTGTTCATACAGGAACCCAAAGGATTAATTTAAACACCACTGATGTCTGACAACTGGGATTTGAGAGATGCCTTATAGTAGATAAAATAGATGGCTGATAATGAGCGATGATTTTTCTTTTCTTTCTCTTCCTTTTTAGCTACAGGCCTCTCTGGGTACCTCTTGGTCTCTCTTGTGTAACTTGATAAGCGCTCTTTCTGGCTGAGGAAACAGGCGATGCAGAAGAAACAATCAAACAGACCAAAATCATCCATTTCTGGTTTTCAAACCTGCATTTCAGAAATGGATTCATCTATCCATCATTTATTCAATGTAAAAACAGATTCTAACAGATTAAAAATCCTTTATAAACAACATTTTAAAGTTGATTTTCGACGGCATTCATGAAAATTTGACGACAGATTGCTAATCTGATAGGAAAAGATTGTTATTTGGAAATTCTTTTCACTGAACCTGAAGCAGGTGAAACTAAAACTGCGACTGAAGGAGTTCTAGATGCACTGCAAAAAATGGAAATCTAAATGAGTAATTTTTGCTTAAATGAAGTGTATTTTTTCTTGAATTGAGGAAGTAATTGATATACTTTGCCAATGGAACAAGACAATTTACATTTAAAATAAGAAAACACAAATTGCTTTGTCTTATTTCAAGTGCATATTATATAATTATCTTGTTTTAGGAGTAAAAATACTAATTCCATTGGCAAATATCTTATTTATTTACTTAAATTAAGGGCAAGTCCACTCAATTTAAGATTTTTCTAACTTAATTCTAGATGGTTTTTGGAGTGTAATAACTGCTCTTCCTTCAGGAAACTTTCTATTCTCGGGTCGCTGTATTCCAGTCAATTATCAAATCCAAGAATCCAAGAAGGAATTAATCCAATGAATTAAACAATCAGCCGTTTGGGTTAAATATAAGACTCTTTAGGCTGAGATCAGATTAATTAAAGGTCACATATGGAGAACGTTTCAAAGCAGAAAGCTGCTGAATCATCAGTCTACCATAAGTTTGGAGGCAGATTTCACCATGAGGTGTTGTGGAAGCCATTCCAGCGACCCGCCGTAATCCGGGTACATCCGTTCCCAAACGGTGCTGTTTATTGTTTCTAATCAGTGTTCATTTGAGGGGAAGCTAAATCATTTGAAGCTTCTCCTCAATCTGAAGTCCAGCACCTCTGTCAGTGAAATACATAGAACCTCAGCATGAAGCTTCCACCACCGTGCTTGACAGCTACTGTTAAATCTCCAGACGGCGTAGATCCACCTTTGTCTCCTCTTTTAAGAAACATTTAGATGTTTAAGTCTTTGCAAAGCTAATAGACATAAATCCAGCCACAGCTATGGAAATATACCTTTAATTCTGTATGAATCTAAGTTGTTTGTTGCATATGAATGATTCCAAGATGTAAAGACATTTGTTAATTATTTAGATTTAATGATGTTTGTCTTTGGGTGTGGGTTTGGTTGTTGGTTGTGGAGCAGAAGCACGCTGCTTGGCGTGCCACAGTGCTGGCAGGGGCGGATTTAGGAGGATTTGGGGCCCTAGGCAAAGACAGGCAGGGGGCCCTCTGAATATAGAAGACAACACATTTAACAGACCCAATAGAGAAATGCTAATAGAATATACATCCATTATTTGTTCTAAGTTTTTTCAATGTTTTTTTTCAATGATTCTGTTAATCCAGGCATTCATTTAAGGTGGAAATGAGCTACTAGCGGAGGTCTGCACTCTCCGGGTGCTTTTCTAACAATGTGTTTGCTCATTATATAGTCATAGAATCACATCCAACCAGATCTACAGTCACTTTTTAGAGTTTTAATCCATAATCAAATAGAAAATAATCTAGACACTGAAAAATTATTCTTGCAGACTAAAGGAAATAATGAAATAATCAAATCAGATCTTTGTGTTTTTGTTTTTCTTGATTGAAGTGAACTGAACTGGGACTCTGTACTAAATGAAGATTACTGTTGTGTCACCGGGGGCGGATTTAGGTAAAACAGACAGGGGGCCCCTCTGAATGGGGAAACAACACATAAAACAGACCCATTATAGAGATAGAGAAATGTTAATAGAATAGACATCCATTATCTGTTCTAGGTTGTGTCCCTCTCTTCTTGTCCCTTTTCTTCTTGTTTTCCTCTCTATGTTTTGTACTCAGCTGACTTTTCATGCTGTCTCTAAAGGAATGAAAGATTTTTTCTAAACACTAAGCCCACTTAGCTGATTGCTCCTTCCTGTGTTTCCAAACAGGCCAAAGTAACTAACCC